GTAAAGGGTTGGTAAGCCTTCAAAAAAGCCAAATCAGTTAATCAATCGAACGCATAGCAAGGACACATGACACTAGGTTACCAACACGACTGCAGACTTTCAGTTAGATATTCACTTAGTTTAGTCTGGCATGTGGGGATCATATAGAAAATGTCGAATTTTTTTCACTGGGGAAAACAATCTTTTGTAATTGGTTACATTTCTTCAACTATTCTGAGGTGAATCTGCAACAGTGTCACTCTCCAGACCCCACAGTAAATTAAAGTCATTCAGTCAGTTTTTTCTGTGAGCTGTGCCCAAGACATACCCATTGAATCAGAAATTACTCGTACGATCATCGAAGTTAAGCAACATCGAGCCTACTCAGTGCTTCGATGGGTGGCCGCTTGGGAATACCATGTACTGTAAGCTTGGATGTGCGAGTGGTGTAATAGATAACGACTTGGAGTTGTAACTCAGAGAGCCGAGTTCCAGTTCAAGTCGGGGTCGTTATATTTACATACTCGCAAATAGACTTGGGAAAGGTATGAATCCCCCCCCAAATATTAGTTAAATGGTAGAACTTGTATCAGTATAAATCATAAAATATCTACAAAAATTCTTACAATCTAAAAACATTTTCTGGCTTTAAATGCAAAAAGGGTTGATAAGCCGTAAAAATCAATCTATCAATCAGATATATACCGTAATACTATCTAGTAAACATCATGCTTGACATTCAAGCTAAAAGAACGCAGGCCATGAAGATCATTTGCAGAAAAATAAGATTATTAGAAAATATAAAATTGCTCTATGATTTTGTACTCGTCTTTTTCTATTTTATTCATTGACGAACAAGATAGGAAAATGTACAGGGCCATGATTACCTACGTCCTGATGAAACATGGCATATAAAAGAAAGAAGGTTAGTAATACTTGCTAAACGCTCTGACATTTAGTCCTTATATGTAAAGGACTGAAGAGTGCTTCTATGTGACGTGTTCCGTCAGGACATGGGCGACCATGGGCCTCCACAGCCTCCTATCTCTTATAGCTCTTAGAAACGTTTGCTAAGCTTCGCATCCCCTATTTATCCAACAATTCACACGGGTAGGTGGTCAACTGTCTTCTCCTATCCTTTATACCTTCGACATATCCTGTGAGTGTCAAATTCTCCAAATCTTCCTTCGTTTTTGCACGTCCAAGAAATTTCTGATTCTAAGTGTCCTTTTTGTTTTCATTTTCGTTAAGAATTCTTTATTGCTTACGCGTCCCGTCCTTATGGGAAATGGTCCGCACGTAAAAAAATAGTGAAAATGTTTTGTGACTAATTGTTGTTGATTAGTATTCATTAGAATTGCCTTTATCCACCACATTTATCAGAATCGAATAGTACTTTTTTTAAAATCATTTTAGAATTGGGTCCCTGTACATAAGAAAGACCTGTAATGTAATCGATTCTGACCAAATATCTCGATTTCTGTCACTTTCTCATCAACATGACGTAGCTTCACTCTGTCTTTTCTCCAGATATTTTCATGGCAACTGCTCTAATGAACTTTTTTTTTCTTTTTGCCTCGGCTACATGAATTTAAGCGTGCTACTAGATTGCCAATTAGGTCTCATCGTTTTACTGTCTGAACTAGTTATAGTCAACCGTAAGTTCTATTCCAATACTTTCTTTTCTCGCACTTCTAGCTCGTGAAACACCCTTCATTTTTCTTGCTTCTTTGTCCACCTACAATCTTCAAAAAATTAAATGCAACGCCAATCACCATCTTCTGTTTTCCTGAATATCTGTTCTTTTATTGTCCTTTCTCCTCAAGTCTTCTCACTAAAGTCTTCTCATTCTCTTTCACTCCCAGTAATCCATTACGTCCAAGTGGTATTATCACTTTGCTTGGAGTGAAATGATTTTTAAAAATCGATTTTTTAAAGAGTTATATGTAATTTGTTTTTATTTAGGTAATTGATAACTGCGTACTACTGATGTTTGTCCATTTTTCCAATTATAGATTTTCCTCAGATTTTTAAAATACATTTTTGTTAAATAGACTTATGTATTTTCCTTTTTGGTTTTGGTTTTTATTACGGAAGCAGTTGCCGAAATATAGGGAGATAAATATTTATTTTAGATGAATCCTACCATTAGGGATTTTCCTCCTCTATTTTTCTACTGGCGGTTTCTTGCGGAACGGTCGGCTTGACCAGTTGAGATGGATAGCGATCAAGTTATGCCATTACTTGAGAATAAGCAGTGTTGTGTGAAGTGGGAGATAACCAACATACTTAAAATACCTAAATCTATTTCTGGAAATGTAATTTATGAACTTGGTTATGTTAGTCGCTTTGATGTGTGGCCTTCACATAAATAAAAAAAGACTTTTCGTGATAAGAGTGTTCTGGTTTTTTTTTTTGGTTTTTTTTAAAGAAATCTCGATGCGCAATAAAAAGTGGACGTTTTACAATATTGTCATCCACAGATAGACAGTTTCACTGTATCACAGCTCATCAGTTTGGATAGACATCCGATTGCCTTAAGCCAGGATCGAAACACGACTGATTTCTCGGCAGGGTGGGAGGTGAATTTTTACGTATTTATTTTGAATAAACACGCCAGTGACTCAGAGTACTCGATTCATAGAAGAGCAATGGTGGACTCGTATTCGACGTATGACGGTCAAGCAGCTCAGTTCCTAGGAACCTATAGCCAGACACCAGCACATATGATTTGATTATAGTGGTGAATGCTTTGTGCAGAACCATCCACACTTTTTGAAGGGCCGAATACAGAGATCTGGTGCACTACGTGCCACAAGTCCCCCCAAACGACCCTCCGCAGGTTTTGAATTCAGAGTTGTCCTTCTCCTAGACCAGTTGCCATCCAAGATAATAGAATCCAGTGTATGATACAGGTTTGATTCCCGTCGAAATACACATCTTTCTATGAAATTTCTCGGACATTCAGGCCGGTAAATGTTAATGCGGTTTATTATAAACAGAGCATTTACTTAAATATTTGTATGTATAAAAATAACGTACAAACAGAATATATATATATTTTATTAAAGACATTTTTATGTTTAACGTTCTTTTTATAGATACAAGTATTTAAGTAAATGCTCTGTTTATAATAAACAGTATTAAATAACATTTACTGGCCTGAATGTCCGAGAAATTTTCATAGAAAATATTCGTCCTTTGACAGGATTCGAACCTGCATCCTATACGGAACCGTCATTTACGCTGACGTGCCTAACCTCTCGGCCACAAAGGATCGTTCGGTTGGCAAGGTCGAATTTACTGCTTTTAAACTTCAATCTTCCATGAATCTCGTACATTCATAACTGCTCTGGCGTATCAAATGTAAACAAATGACGTTATATATTAAGAATGCTCTGTTTATAATAAACAGTATTAAATTAAGGACGAATATTTTCTATGAAAATTTCCGTATAGGATGCAGGTTCGAATCCTGTCAAAGGACGAATATTTTCTATGAAAATTGCTCGGACATTCAGGCCGGTAAATGTTATTTAATACTGTTTATTATAAACAGAGCATTTACTTAAATACTTGTATCTATAAAAAGAACGTTAAATATAAAAATGTCATTAATAAATAAATTGTCGGACTTTGTCCATTTCTTAATATATATATATATATATATATATATATATATATATATATATATATATATATATATTTATTGAGCACTCTTATTGCCAAAATTCTGCTAACCTTGACATACGTTAAATTTCCCTGATACCTACCAGGTCCTGCAGAGTAAATAAACACTGCCAAGTTAATTATTTCCACATGACACCATTATGAACAAGATGTTAAACCTTATTGTCTAAATCAATATGGTGCCCCAACAATCCTGATGTATAAACCAGTATGGCGCCCGCCCCAACATGCTTGGTAGTTTAGACCACTAAGATACCCTAACTGTCCTTATTTCTAGACGATTATGTTACCATAACTGTCTAGATGCCCAGACCAGTATGTCGCCCCAACAATCCTGATATTTTGACCAGTATGGCGCCTATTAGTCCAGATCAGTATGGATCTCGACAATTCTGATGTCCAGACAAGTATGTCTTCTCAACAGTCCTGATCGTCCAGACCAGTTCCCAAAAGTCTTGATAGTCCAGATTAATATGCCACCCAACAACCATAATATGGCAATGCAAAAACTCTAATAGTATGACACATCAACAACCCAGGCAATTAATGCTAGTATGATACACCAACAGCCCTGATATCCCAAACAAATATAGCAGCTGAACAACCCACTCCGATTATCAAATGTTCAACCTCGTCCTTTTATTGCAGTTCAGCTTCGAAAATCCTTTTGAAAGAAAATACAGCATTTGTAAATTTCGTCCTGCGAAAGAGCTGCAACTTGTAAAGGAAACTGAAGTCAGGTTCTTTTCTTTTCTTTTCTTTTTTTCTTTTTTTTCTTTTCTTTTCTTTTCTTTTCTTTTCTTTTCTTTTCTTTTCTTTTCTTTTTATTGGTTATGTCCACAAAGCCGTGAATGAGGGATTAGTGTAACGTTTAGCGACTCAGAAAAAGAGATCAGCTATCCCGTGTTCAAATTACGGCTGTGTTCGTTGCTATCACTTGAGAAAAGGTATCAATCAATCGTTTTTTCCCGCCAGCTAGGGATTAAATAATAGGACTGATTGGTCTTTCCTGCCTTGCGGTTGCAAACTGTCTAGGAAAAGAAAAACCTTGAAATGTGAACCAGTCTGAAGACGGATGAGCTTCATCAAGCTATCCTTCCCATTACTGCTACGGCTGCTGTGCATGTGAAGCCCCTACGATCCTAACGAAACTCGTGACGACCACTCAGCTAAGTTTTATTGAGTTTGTTCGGAGGTTAAATGTCATCTAACTTTTAATTGACGATTCGTCGATATCGTAACATCCTCTTGGATTAATCTGTTTCTTTATATATATATATATATATATTTGCAGATAAGAAATCAATGAAAGCAGTTGATCGGCAGACAGTATGTTCCCGTCTATAAAGAAAGAGTTTAAACTGCGTAACTTCTGTTTGAACTATGAGCATCCGTATCATTTCTACACTTCAACAGTTAGTATGAGTTTTTATTATTTGTAACTCTTATCAAAATGAATACACCTTATTTTCTTATAATAAAAATTATGTGTCACGGGAGCGGGGGGGGGCACCAGGACTTTAGAGATGTTTAGGTGAGGCATGGCCAAAAAGATGTTGGGAACCACTGGATTACAATAAGGATTTCTAGATCGACCCACCGATCGCCCTCTGCCACGGCTGACAATTTAGGAGCCATTTTGCTTCAGGGTTAAGCAAGCATTCAGTGTAACTCAAGATTTTATTTTATTTTATTTGTTTTTTTAACGGCATATCAACACCGTATGGGTCATTTAATACCGACATTTAATTTTCGCGGAACTTTGAAGTAATAAAAATATGATACATGTTATTCTGCTTTCACAATTGAATACATGGTAGCTTTTGTGCTTGGATTAATCTGTTTATATATATATATATATATATATATATATATATATATATATATATATATATATATATATATATACATGGTAGATTATACTCAGCTTTTGTGCATGTACATGCTTGTGTGAACATAATTAATGTCATGAAAGAATTCTTTCATGTTGGTGGTTGATTTTGTTTAGTAACATACCAACCTCTATAGGTTATTTAATGTCGAAACTTAAATATTTTGAACACAATTTTATGGCTTCAGCTAATTATATATTTTGAACGCAATTGTATGTCAACTACAGATAAAATGTATTGTTGGTCATTTTTCTATAAAATGTATTGTTGGTAATTAATCATACATTAATTAATTAATGCTGCTAATTCACAGTTTATGGAAGCAACATCAAAAATCAAGATAATCCGAGCTTAGCAACTGATCTTTCATTTGACCTAGCTCTAAGAGTTCAATCGGAGAAAAGCTGACTTGTAATTTTCAATACATCAAGAATCAAGGTAGTATAATTTCATCACCACCGATCTCCGATCATTTGAACAGGAGTAGAGGTTTATCCCTTGTTTTCTGTTTAGGATTGGGTTTCTGGTTCCTTCTAAAGTCTACTTCAACTCTATACTTCTAACGTCACCTCCTGAAACCGTGAACTTTTATTTACTATTGATTTACTTTTTTCCTCAGTAGGAGTAAATAGGTTTGCCTATAGTCCGGTTCACACTCCTCCCAGGTTTTTTTGAATTTGAATAGAGGTATATCTTTTGTTTTCTGTTTAGGAGTGGGTCTAGTCTAAAGTCTACTTCAACTTTATACTTCTAACGTTTCCTCCTGAAACCCTGAACTTTTATTTACTACTAATTTACTTTTTTTTTTCCTCAATAGGAGTATATAGGTTCGCTTATCGTCCGTCCGCTCTCTTAAGAAGGATCCTTGTTTTGAACGACTATTGGGAATAGAATTCATATACAGTGTAACCCGGATGTAAGAGAGTTGTCGGGACCGGAGAAGAAGTCTCTTATATCCGGGTTTCTCTTATATCCGGGTTTGGTCTTTTTTATATACATTAACACAGGCTCTAATTTGGGACCAGATAAAATCTCTCTTATATCCGGGTTTCTCTTATATCCGGGTTACACTGTATACGATCCGTTGTTAAAGATGCCGGAAAAAAGGTCGGCTCATCTTACTGCTTCGGAAAGTATTGGACTCCTGTTATCACGCTCTAACCTTACAAGAGTCAGATCGGACCAAAAATAAAGCACATAGGCTAGATCTGCCCAGTTCTCAATTTTCAGCCTTTGCACGGTCTTGTGGCTGATGACTTATTTTAAACCCCACAATCCCCATCCCACAAAAAAAAGACAGATGATAGCTCAGAGTCCAAGGAGTGTTGGATGCAAAAAGATATAACTAATCGTTATTTGACACCGAACTTTTTTTTTTGTAAAACGTCTAGACGGGGGAAAATGGCAAAGTTTAACAAATGTAGCCCTAAAAAAGGCGGATTTTCTCTTGAAACCCAAATTTATGAAACTGGATTTATGTCTTCTCTTTTTTCTTGAATGACAAAAAATATATTAAACACTATTTATTTATGAAATTATTTATCTACAAGAATAATTTTATATTTAAAGGATTATTAAAATATGTGAACTAACGGCAATGCAATGCTTACCATATTGTAAAGAAATAAATATGAAAACAAAATTCTTATTCATAACACCGGTTGACGATTTTTTCGACTCAAATGCTGTTAGTCAGTGAGCAATTGCGTTATTTTTTCACGCTGAATCTGAAAATCAAGTCCAAGTGATCCTCACGTTTTCCCTGAGTTCAGATAATTTCTATTTTGCTTAAAATTGGCCAAAATGCCTTATTCACAGAGATATGCCACGTCTTAAATATGCGAGTGACATAGTTGGAACATTTCGTTTCATTTTAAAATCATTTATCATTCAAGAAAAAAGTATCCAAATAACTTTCAAAATGAATTCTAAGCTATTTCCGTTCAGATAAGCTGACCTGAAAATGTTTGATTTTATGAGAGATATCTCACTGGAAAATATTCTTATGCCTTCAATGTTCTTAGCTTATTAAAACTTTGTGATTTGTGGTTCTTTGCTTTTCATATAAGTCCTTTAGAAGTCATTCAAGAACACCGATTTTAATTTTTATTAGTAGCTTTCACTTTAAGCCCGAAACCATCATAAGATTTCTTTCACTTGAATTTACGGAGGTCTGATATTATCATGCAGTCTCTGTATAACATGCATAGGAACATCGAGAAATGAGGGTCTTTAGGATGCTAGGCGAGTGTATTTGAGACTAGCAAGATTAGAATTTTTTTTTATCAGCGCTTAAAATAGCCACCAAACACCAGATAGGCAAACTAGGCACTTTGCAGATGGGATGTTAATATGATGGCTGATTTCTGCTGGACCATAAAAAGAGATCAACCTTTTTAAAAGTACCGTAGAGTTTCCAAGAGGAGAAGATTTATACATTTGGATGGACAAAAATGAATGTATTTTTCATTACTTTTTATCTTTTTTGTTTTGGTTCAAAAACTGATCACACATGTTTGACTTAATTTAATTTTGTGTGAGATTTTTCTGAAATTTTTTTTCTGGACTAAAAATACATTCTTTAAGTTATTGGGATACTTTTTCTTTTATAAATTATTCTAACCTAAAAACGTTTAAGGTCGGTTCTATCTGGCCCTGACAGATCACTGTTAAATGGGTATACTGGCCCATTTTAAGAAAAATAGAAATTGTCTGTAATGAGAAAACGTGATGTGATGGGAAAATGGACTTGATTTTCAAATTCAGCGTGAAAAAATAACCCGGAAACATGTGTCCATTGCCTAACAACATTTAGGAAAAAAAAAAAAAAACAATGTCCACCGGTGTAATTTAAAAAAAATATCTGTACACAAGAAAATCTAAATAAAGACATAAATGCATAAATTTAAATAACGACAAGTAACAGTAATTATAAATTTTTTGAAAAAATGCATTTTCCGGCCATTTTTTGTTGTTGTTTTTTTGATTTGCTTTCGTCTTATAAATTCATTAAAATCAGTTGTTATCATCTGGATTTCTTCAGTTTTTTTTCCCGAGAATTGACAAGAAAAATGTTAAACCTTATTTATTTGTTAGATTTTTATTTTTATTTTTACGTTACGTTTGTTAAACTTTGTGAGTTTTTTTCTGTAAGATTCAAAGTTAATTTTCCATTGCTGAACCTGTACTAATCTTTATTATACAATATTATTGAGTACAATTAGTTTGTTTGAATTATACATCGAAATCTTATATCTTTCAATATGCTGTAATGGAATGTCCCACACTCCCTATCGTTTATGTGGACTGACTATATCAGTAGCTATATTTAGTGAGCACAGGATATACCTGACGACTTCCTTCGGGAATTAGTTGGAGATCTCCAGCTAAGCTAGTCGAACTCTCTGCCCGAAGGCAGAGAGTAACCCAGACGAGGCTATACTGAAGGGCAGAGTCTCGTCTGGGGTGGTAGACAGCTACCTGACCCCATTTTTATGGGGTCTACGGGGAATTTTTGTCCCAGCCTACGGGCTCGGATACCCCACGTTAAATTCGGCCTTGTGCCACATCTGACCGCTTGGGGAGGTTGGTAGATATCCTCGCTTCGGGAATTACTAGCCTGCCACCCGATTCCCTGTCTTTCAGTAGTGTATTCTCTTTTACAATAAACCTCTCTTTCTTTCATCTACGCGCGTGTTGTTTCACTCGAGTACCACCTTTATCTGTTTATAACCTCTTAAATGGTACAACACAATATCTCAACTTAAACTAAATCTAATTAAAAATAAAAGTTATTCTCTCTATCTGGTAAGATTCAAAGAGAAGTTTTCATTCTGATATTTTTAATACTATTGTTCGCTCACTTGAGGTAGAGAGTTACTGAATGAGTTTGATGAAAGAGCGTAAAGGGAGGAGATAAGAAGTGTATATTATGAGGGTGTGTAGAATTGGAGAATGTGAGCCTAGGCCTGAAGACGTTTAGAGCATCGTTTGTTAAACTTAGCTGCAAAAGTAATGTCTCAAAACGCTCATGTAAATAAGGTTTCGTTCTCGATGCAGAATGCTTCACTGTTGTTTTTTAGTGTAGAATTAGTCATGAGGAGTATGAGGATAAACTCCATCCGGTAACAAGGCTTCTGATTAGGATATTGGAGGTTTTGAGGAGCGGGGAACAACCTCTTAATTGCTGTCGTTCTCAAGCTGGTAGCACTTGTTAGGGTCCTAGCTATGGACAAATAGTGGACTGCCAAATATTTTTATAGTAAAAATACCAGCAATATATATTTATATAAACAGTTACCAATAATACCTATTTATAGTAGAATAACTAACAATATATTTTATAGCAAAATGACCAACAATACATTTTATCTGTAGTTGAAGACATAAAATTGCATTCAAAATATATATAAATATAAAACTTCGTTCAAAATATTTAGAATTCGGCATTAAATAACTCATATAGATTGATATGTCGCTAAACAGAATCAACCAACTAATATGAAAGAATTATTTCATATTAA